GGGATTAGGCCAGTTTGACATATATTCTGCCAATTCTCATTACTACTTTTAATCTGTTTTCTAAATTACCTTCGTTTGGCTTTGCATATATTCTATTAATATTCTTTCAATTAGTGTAATACTTTTGTTAGGCACACTAAGTGTAGTAATCAATATCCATTAAATTTTTCATGAAATGAAAAGTTTTTGTGAAATTTTAATGAATTATAAAGTAATATTGAAGCGTATATCAGTTTATATATAATATTGTCAAGCAGCAACTTGTATTTGTTGGTAAAATAAGCTTGTATTTTCTACAGAAGAATTTTTATAGTATGCTCTAGATTAGGGGTCTTCCACCTTTCACGGCCAAAGGTCACATTAACAAATTCACAAAGCTCCGCAGGTCACATGTCTGTCAAAAAAATAGTGTAGTCAGAAAATTTATATGAAAAATGTAGGTTTGTTTTGCAAGACTACAATTGATTCTAAGTGAAGAGATAGCGTTACAGATTTATATATATATATATATATATATACATCTGTTTCAAAAAGTCAACTAGAAATTGAATTAAAATGTTTTGCAACTTTTTCAAACTACGAAAAAAAGTATAAAGATGATTTTTCAGTCAGAACGATGTTACAAAATGCATTTACAATAAAAAAAGAGGGGGAAAACTTACATTACTGACAGGAGATGATAGTTACTTTAGTTTCAGTGTGAAATTTTGACATTGTTTTTGCTTGATTAAAGCTTTAATATCCGGTTTAATATGCATTGCAATTCGTAAAGTTTCCTCCAAATGTCTGTCTGTCAGCCGTGTTCTGTTTTTGATTTTCAGATTTTCATTTTACTAAAAAGCTATTCACATATGTAGGTATTGCCAAGGATAGAAGACATGAAGAGAGCATGTTTACGAATTCCTGGTTACTTGTCTTTGGTCATGTACTTTGAATAAAAATAACTTAATATAGAATTTTCAAGAAACTTGCATTTTACTACAGAGTCACACTGTAAATCTATAAATTCTAATTGAAGTTCAGGTAGAACACTTCAACGTCTACTGAAAATGGCGAAGAGAACATTCTCATTAAAATTTCATTTTCACAAAAATCAGAAAATCTGCTTCCTCTTTCAAATTTGAAATTCCTTTTTTCAAATTTAAAATTCATTGTACATAATTATTTGAATTTCATGTTGTAGAGTTCTTCACACATTCCATCAGTTTTGGAAAGTGGGTGGAATTCTTATTTAGCAAATGACTTTCTCACAGGATTAATTTTGTCTCAAAAGCTTTCACAAAGTAATAAAGATTATGAACAAGTAGATCTTTTCCCAGTAAACAGTAGTTCAAATCATTGAGATGACCAGTAATACAACAAGAAATGCAAAGTCTCTCAACCATTTCTCATCACTGAACTTGTGAATAGATTTCCCCTTAGATTTCGTCAATTGTTCAACTTCACTCTTCAAAGAAAACAGGCAATGAAACATCTCTCTTTGGCTCAACCAGCGTACTTCCGTGTAATACACAATATCATCATATTCAGCTTATAAATCACTAAAGAACTGTTGAAATTGGCCGTGATTAAGTCCTTTAGACCAAATGAAATTAACCACTTTTACAACAACATTCATCACATGCTCAAAGTTTGAGAAGGACTTCTTGCACAAATTTTCTTGGTGGATGATGCAGTGGAAATTCATCATAGTATTATTTCCACTTGCCTACACTTCAGACTTGAGTAATGTTGTTACTCCTGTTTTCTCTGCAGTCCTAGATTTAGCATCATCCGTGGTAATAGCAGATATATTACTGAATTCTTAACTCACATTTATCCAAAGTTTGTGTCGGACTCGAATACAAAGCCATTTCTCATGTTGTACCTTTAAATTCAATGACACTGGCTAATTCCTTTATAATTGTGAAGTCTCTATCAACATCATGAATAAAAATGGCTAGTTGTGTAGTATGTGTTGCATATCTTGATTCATTAGAGAACTTGATTCATCTACAGAGTAAAACTCAATTTCTTTTGCATTTGGATTTTAATTTACTGAATATATCTGTTGAGAGATCCTCTATGCGTCTCGCTACTGTCACACCAGACAAGCTATTATTCGGATATGACTTGAACCTGTGATAGACATCAACTGTTTAAATACTGTTTCTGTTTAAATTTGGTTGGTAATAGGCATTTAAAAGTGATTTAAGTTACTGGATTAATTCTTGAATATACTGCAACTTTTGCACATAAGAGTGTGTTAATACATTTTCTGTGTTACTTATTTAATTGTAATGGATATTTTACTGAATGAAATATTTGCTTAATGTGTATTTTATTTATTTTTTTTGTTTGTTTGTTTTCAAAACCCTTTTATTTTGAGATCATAATTTGGAATATATTTGTCAAATAAATATTTAAGGAAACAAATTTTATAGCTAACTTTTACGGGCATCGCGAATGTGTATTTCAAAAGTGTGATTACAACTATGCGATTACTATTGTATAATTTGTTGAAAATTTATATACTCTTTCAAATAAATATACTGGGTTATTAAAAATGATGTACATTATTTTAAAAGACTGTAAAAATTCGTTTTTAAATAGGAACATGCCAGAATGGGCTTAAAAGGAAGGAAAACTCAAATATGTTCTTTTGCCCGTGGCCTGTGTTGGGTATGGAAGGTGTGGTAGCATTGTTATCACTAGAATGAAAAGTGTTGCCTCAGGCAGAGAAGGCATTTTGCTTCTTACAGCATTCAAAATTAGAATCTGTAATTTTGGTCTAATGTGCATTCCATAGACAATTTTGAAAAGACAGTCCGACTAGCAAAAGCATCCAAAAGTGATTTCACCAATTTGAACAAACAAGCTGTCTTTGTAAAGGCAAAAGCATAGAAAGCCATGTTTAGTAGTGAAAATATGGAAAAGATGGAAGTGGCATTTCAGTGCAGCACAGAGAAATCAATGACTCAAGTTATGAACATGTACTTCCACAAACAGCAGTGTGGGTTGCCATTGAGGAAATGAAAATTCGTAGACTACTGCTGGAGCTTCACTTCCCAGAGACAAGGATCAAAGAAAGGAGTTTTGCATGAATATGTAGGGCTGGTCACCGATGCAATGTGCGAATCTAGAGAACGGAAAATCTTCACTGTGCTATGGAGCATGGGTGAGATTCATCTGAAGTAAATATGTTTTGTGCAATTTCGGAGACCAAATCATATGAGCCATTATTTTTCATGGAAGAAACTGAATAGTAATACAGTCAAAAGTCGTTAATCCGGACTCATTGGGACTTCGGCGATTCCGGATTATCGATTTTTCCAGATTATAGATCATCAGTTTAAATCTCGTAAGATGGCATGCAGAAATTCTAAAATTAAAAATATGAAACCGTAATTTATGAAATAAAGAACATTAATATCTAAAGGGTATCAAAATTTACAAAAAAAAAAAAAGCTTAATATTTATTTGTTTATTAAACATTTCTCTCAATGTAAGTTGTTTAAGTTGCTTCATTTTTATGTGATAATACTTTATCTTTAATTCTATAAACAAGACATAATTTCTTTGTTCAGTTTACGAAGTTTCCGCTGTTCAAGTCCCGTTAATTGCTGTGCCGAGAATACCGACTAACTTGTCAATCAAATTTTTTTTCGTTTTCACACTAACCTCTCTGTCACTTCTTCATGTCTTTATCCATTTTTTGCAGCAATTCCACTTTTGTTTGTTGGACATTGAAACATACTTTCGTTTTGTAGATCCTTTGGAAGTTCCAGATCGGAAATTCTATTTGACATAATCGAAAGTTCAAGTTTACTTTTATAAAATTGCTCTTACAGTCTGCAAAAAATAATAAGCAGGATCCAATTCGAAGATTAAGGAATGCAATCAGTAACATTAACTGAAATAGATAATTAGATAATTTTAGCTTACACCGTCCGTTATACATTAAACGCGCAGGCAAAAACGTATTCTGCACTTGCACACACGCATATGCGCAGTAGTCAAGGTCTTACGAGCGCACGTAAAACGCCTGTGCGCATGTTCCAATGCGGCACATGCGCAGAAAGTTTTTAGCTTTGAGGTCCGGATTATGGGTGTCCGAATTAACGACTTTTGACTGTATATATTTTGTCATGTTGCAGATCTGGGTTTTCCCACAATTACGAGAAAGCTCAAATAATTCTCCTTCAGCAGAACTGTGCACATCAGCACTGGAAGTTGAAAGTGTGCAAGTTCCTCAACAAAGTGATTCCTAATGGCTGGATTGGCTATCCCAGAACAAATAACAAAGTGATGTTTCCTTCGACCCTTCCCCAGGTCACCAGGCAGAGACCCATGTGACTTTTTTTTTTTTTTTTTCTTTTCGAGACTGCATGAAAGACAATGTATGCCACCACTACCATGCAACTTAGAGGACCTACAAATACACATAAGTGATGCTGTGTCAGGCATGCACAAATGACTGTGGGAAGAAATTGATTATTGTCTGGACGTATGCCATATGACTTGATGAAGTCATATCGAATACTAATAATGTCATCAAATAAAAATATTTGAGTTGTCCTTTCCTTTAAATTTGTTCTGCTAAGTATTTATTTATAATTGACTCTTATCATAGTATGTTAAAATACTGTACATTATTTTGTCTGCATGTGTCTAGTTTATGTGAATAACTTATAAAGTGTAAAATGTTATAGTTCCATAAATTTCCCGTTTTTCTAATATGTTAAATAAACAAGCATGTAAATTTATATGCTGAAAGGTTTTAATATTTATTAATCTGAAGGGGAGGAGAATTGTGTTCTCTGAGAAAATTATTTAGTTTTTACATTAATTTGAAATTTTATTTTTTATTCAGCAAGAAGACATTGTACTGGATCAGCCTTCTTTATTATTCATACCATTGTTTTAAATATTTAATATATTAATTGCCTGTTTCAAAGTAATATGTGGATTCATGTTTTCTGTTGCTTATAACTTGCTTTCATACTGTTGTGCTTTTTTAGTTATCCTACCCTGCAGTTGTGTACAAGAGTAACATCACAGCCCCCATCTACTCTGAACAGTCCCCAGCAGAAAACTTCATCCTTGTTAGGTAGTCAAAGCTTAGCAAAGCTCCTGACTGAACGTGGAATCCATGGCATGGTACCGTCTGCTATAAGCCCTTCGGTAAAGGTTAGAGAAAGCTTTTGCTTTGCTGCGTTAGATTGAGATGAACCTTTCTGTAGTAAATAAAATATTGAATACATTTGTTGAAAAAAAAATTATTAGTAGTTTGCACTTTTTTAATGAATGTGAACGATTAGGATAGATTTTCTTTTAATCTTCCGAGTCACAAGATTTTATGTTCACTAAGTGTGAAATACTGTGACTGCTTTAATGCAGAGGAAATAAAATTTAAATGCTTTTTTGTTGCTTGTTGTGAGATCCTGTTTTAGGCTTGTTTCTTTCACTTTGCCTTTTAGCATCACTGCTTTGCTTTATTTTTATTTTATTATTTTTTTCGCATGCAGTATTTGACAAATGCTTAGAATAATGTTTTGATCTCAGTGTTGAAAGAATTTTGGGGTTGTATTTTCTGTATATGAAAGTTACTTTTGAAATATGTATTGACATTAAAAAATAGTTTTTTTTATTATGTTGAATAAATATATTTCATTGATCTCTGTTTATTAAGATGAAATTATACGATTTTTTTTTCAATCTGTCTGATTTTCATCTTGATGAAATAATGCTGATTTAATTCAAAGACATGTATTTTTTATTATGGCCAAAGTACAAGCTGTCCATACTTAGATTCCCTAATCAGAGCTGCCTGCAACCAGAAACATTCATTAGTAAAGTATGAAGTGTTGTGTATGAAGTAATAAAAAGATGGGAAAGCCATTTAGCAAAGCAGCAAATTAGTTACAAACTTCAAACCTAGAAGGAGTATTATTCTGAAACATACTTCACATAAAGTATTTTTCAGTACCATACAGCAGTTGTTACAAGAAACTTCAAATGTTCACAGAGAACTTGCTTTCATCGTGGTCGCCACTCATATTGATCTTAAGTTTGCAAGATTGTGTACTGTTAGTTAAATTATTTTATCTTTGGCTTCAAAACATTCATGTGAATTATCAGTGTTTCACAGTAATTCAGTAATATGCCCTCCTAGGCAACATTGTTACATATATATATATATGTGTGTGTTTTCTATCTCTTTATTACACCATACACAAAATTTGACACTTTTTTTGATGAACAGTTACAACTGTAGGAAATTCAGATTAAGGGAACTTAGCTATGGACATCCTATAAATTTATTTACATTTTTAAATTCCTGTTGGTATTGATTCAGTTCTATGCTGTTGAAGAAATAGTAGTATCTAAACGAGGTTACAGATATTAGCTAAAACTGTATTTTTAATGTTACTAGTACAGTTTACCATTTATTACTTTTCTGGAACAAGGTTGAATTTACTATGATTTAAGCACGTGTAAATGTATTATAGCATAAGGTACATATTTTTTAGCTATAAATTATGGTTTTGAATAGATTGTATTTCATTACATTCATTCAGACTCTCAAGTCTAAATTAATATATGATTCTTTTTTGAATAAAATATGCATGGCACCAAATTTAAGAGCAAAAAATTATTTAAAAAAATTCGGTTACTTGTTGCAAAAATCAGATTAGAAGCAGCTGTTCAAATGTCTACTTGAAGTAAAAAGCAACTGGTGGATGAAGTTTTCAAAGTGATTTTGTCTATAGACTGTAGTATGATGAAGACCCATGATATAGTTATTAATGAGCTTAAGCAAAATATCACAGTGAAAGATGTCAAAAAATTAACAATGGCTAGGTTGAAGTGTTCACTTGATTTGATAGCCTTGTGGCAAACCTTTACTTAAATGTGGTTGGTCCAAAGGAAAAATAAATCAACCTAACCCCCAAATCTATAAATGCCCTTGTTTGTTGGAATAACTGTTTTGATAACATAAGGCTATGATTTTTATCCTGAATGTTGAATGTATTGTGTCAGAAATGATGCTCAATTTGTGATTGAGAGCTCCATCTTGATGAAATTAATAATTTATGACTATATCTAATTTTTGAGTCTTTGGAAAGAAGAATCTTGTTTTATGTTATAATATGTGGTCTTTCTTCAAAAGGTATATTCAAAACATTTGACTATATAAGGTACATCAAACTGAGACTTTCTAAGGACAAAGACATATTTTATTGAGAAATGTGGTTTCTTCGAGTTATGAAATTAATCATTTTAGTGATTGACATAATCATCAAGCAAGACATGAGGCTCATTGCTGACATAATCATCAAGGAAGACATGAGCCTCATTGCTGAAACAAAGCTGAGATCGATCGAAGTGGTTAGCTAATTTAGGATATGTTATGAATGAATTTTTTTTATTATGGCTTTTATTTTCTCACTATTTTTTTCTATCTTTGCATTAACTTTTGGGGTATGGATTTAATGCTTTTACTCTTATGAGCATCAGAAACAGAACAAGCTTCATCTTATTTTTATATTAAATTAGTGATTGTACTTCCAGGCGATTTTTGTAGGGTTTTTTTAATGCTGTGAAACAAATGTGGAATAAATCTGTGAGTTTTTCCCCTCCATTTTGCAATAAAAACTATCTAGTTCTTAATGGAGTATTGCTGTTTGCATATCATAGTTAAAATAAGGCTGATCTATGTTTAGTATTTCCCTTTTATATGCCTATCGTGTTTGCAAAGAAGCAGCAACCCCGCCAAATTCTGCAAATATAATTCAACTTTTCCTTTCTCCATCGAAATGATTATTGTCACCCTCTAAATTAACTGTATATATTGTGAACAGTAAAGCCTCGTTTCCACTACTGCGCACGAACGCGTTGCGTCAATTGAAGACACGCCTACGGCATCCGTACAAGCGTTTCCACTGCCGCGATCCGTAGAATATTTTCATTTTACGCCGCTAGGTGTCGCTGTAATATTTTGGCGCCAAACAAGTAGTTCGCGAGTTACAACACTGAACATCTGAATTTTTCCCGCTTAAGCGAGTATTGTTTGTTTTGGATTTGATATGGATCCTGACGTAAAACGCAGAAAAGTTTTGTTTACTAAATTCCATGTTATTGGAAATTTTTATTTCTGCTTATGAACTGAAAGTAAAGTACGCTAGCAATCTTTAGATAAGTAAGGTTGTAATGCATATTATGAGCATCACTAATTCCATAGAAGCTGAAGTAAATTCAAAAAATTTGTTTGCGTTTCTAGAAGCCTTAAATATTAATGAAATAATATATATATATTATTAAAACTAAAATGTACTGTTAGTGGAAAAATAAACAAATAAATAAATAATAAAAAAGTTAAGGAATTAAAAATAGTTGGTACTTTAAAAATACACAACAACTGTAAAGAAAGGTTCACAATATTTACACAAAATTTGCTATGCTTGTATACCATTGACTTCATTTCAGGTCATAGCTGGATAATTTATTATTAGAAATCTCGTTTGTTTTAAAATGCACTATGGCAGTTATTTATATTTAAAATGCATAATTTTAAAACCATAAAATTATTTTTAATTAAATTTTAATTCATAAAAGAAATTTTTATAAAAATAAGCTTATATACACACATTAGGTAAAGAAAATGGAAATATTTAATTAATTCCGGTTCTGCTGGAGAGGACTGAATTTAAAAGCAATTATTATAGTAATTTTTTTGTTTAAAAAAATGTTTAGGGCATTAATACTGTCTCATGTTAATTGGTATGAAAGTTTAGAGCCGTAAACATCCCAAAGTCTGAGCACATGTAATATACATTCACATAAAAGTGAACGAATATAAATATATATATATATCTACAGGGTTTCAAAATAAATTAAATTTAAGTAATTCTCTTGCGCCATTCTGCAAGGAATGAAATTTGAATTAACAAACATTTTCTATTCGTAAAAAGCAAATTTAAAGTTAATTAAATTAAATGAAATTAATACAAACAAATAAATGATTAATTGCTGCAAACTAATATACAATTCATTTAAATTCTGAGAGCATATGTAAAATCAAGTGCAAGTATCATAATCCATGAATAAATATATAATTCCAAAATTTATTACCTATTATTCACTTATGCATTTTTATAAATTTTTCAGGATTAAATCTATCCTATATTCATTTATGCATTTTTATAATTTTTAGGATTAATAATCTATCCTATTATTCACTTATGCATTTTTTAAAATTTTTTAGGATTAATAATTTTTTGGAATTATATATTTATTCATGAATTTTTGATACTTGCATTTGAATTACAAATGCTCTCAGACTTTAAATGATATTGTAGATTAGTTCTCAGCAATAATTAATCATTTATTTATTTGCATTAAATTTTATTTAAATTTGCTTTTTTTGAATAGAGAATGTTTGTTAAATTCAAACATATATGTACAGGGTATGCTTTAAATTAATATTATATAATTTTCAAACTTTTTTTTTGTGTGTGTGGGGGGGGAACTTAAATAAATAAGAGCATAAATAAAACAATATATTTAACACATATAATAATAGAAATAAATTATAAAACACGAATATAGATCAAATTGGAACAATAAGCTGAGAAAGTTGCAGACAGGGTGCAAAAAGCGTATGGGATTCGAACTCACGAACCCCAGAAGTAAGCATTATTACCGTCAGCTTTACCACTAAGCTAGTATCACACGGGAGTCGTATGCATATTTTGGCTTATATATACATCATCAAGTAAATCAATTCTTAAAACTTAATTTTTTGGTCCTATTTCAGTGTGCTATCGTCTGAAAAATTCCCCAGAGTTTGTTCTTCGACTTTTAGTACATTTTTTACAAAAAGCGTTATCTTTTAAAGTGGCGTTTCGCTTGAAGTTAAACGGGCTGCTAAAAATATATTTCATGTGCTTACAAATATATGTTAGCCAAAAAGATATATTTATAAAGAGAAATACAAATTTAACATACTCTTTAATGCAGTGGAATATTTAAAAGGCTATCAAATTTAATTTATAATTAACGTTTTTAGTTTTTACCTGTTTCAAAAGAAAAAAATAACAAATCTTTTAATCATATCTAATTTTCTATAGCAGTTTGATATAGTCAGACATTCATTTTCATTAAAGGTAAATGAGTATGCAGAAATAGGAAATAATTGTCAGGACAAATTTTGCTATTTCATGGACTTGAAATTATAAGTTTTGGCCGCTGATTTTCTTGAACTGAATTTCTTGGCCGTCTGATTTTATCTGCGAACAAGTACTGTAGTTGCAGTTATCTTAATTTTCTTATCTTTTTTTAACTAAATTCAGCTGATTGTCTTTTTCAGTATGCAAATTTCTCGCTATAATGTATTTTTTAGCAAAACATTCTTTCCCTAAGCCAGCATTCCTCGCTACTTCTGCCGCCATTAATTGTTGGTGACAACACTGATTGCTTCCTTTTTTACCACGTGACCACAATGCGTCCACAGACATACGGATAGAAGTTGAACATTGTTAAACTCCATCCGTATGTCATCCGTCACCGCACATCGACCGGATTGCAGATATCAATCAAAGTGAATTCGCTCGCTGATTAGAGAAACGCATAGACACCGCAACGCACACGCAGCAGTGGAAACGGTCCTTAAGTCTTCCAGTTTATTCAGATTTCATTTCTGGTGGGGGATGAAAAAAATACCTGTTTAAGTAAATTTTCTAAACACAATTATGAGGCAGTTTCTTAGAATGCAAAACCCTGTCCAATATTTTATGTAAATTCTTAAATTTATGCCATTTATCATTATACTAATTTTTATTGTATAGTTTTATTTTAATACAGATAAGTACAAATTCATTTGAAAATAGTTTTAATTTACATTTTATTTATTATATCTTCATTGTTTCTTTTTCTACTATCTCTACTTGATTTAACTAGCTGTGCACTTTAAGGAGCATAAGGTTCTTTTTGTTATTGAATTTTTTTTATTGAAGTGAAAATGTAGCATTCTGAAATCTTTCAAACCTTTCCGGAACTGCCTTTTCGAGTTATGGTAGACTGATGTATGTACAAGAAAATTTCTAAATCTCTATCTCTTTAAAGATTTAGTTGTAGATTGTTTTGTGTATAAAATTTAATCGGGTATGATTTATCTATGTATAATTTCTGCTCAGAAGTTTTTTAAATATCACAATATATTATTTTTCCATTGCTTTATTTGATGCTTTCACTTTTTGGATATTTTGCTTGCATTTTCATGTAATAATTTTTTGCTTTCAGAATATCTTGTAAATTGAGTTGTATCAGGTATTTAAATTCTAAAATTATATTCGTATGTTAAATTTTATAATCGTGATTTTATTTTAGAGTGTATCCCCTACACCTACGCCTGCTCCATCGCCTGAAGGCTCTCCACCTCCAACGCCTTTGCCATTCAGTGCAGTTAGGATTCCAGATCTAGTTGGTAGTGCTTCAATTGCCAAAGGATTTCATTTGCTTCGAAAACCACGGAGGTCACGGTCACAGCCACCTCCAAAACGAAGTACCAGGGAAGCATCAGCTGGGCTGAATTTGGACCTTATGGGACGTATACAAGGAATTGGACTAAAAACGTTATTGCCTTTTGATGATTGTGCATTGACAAAGAAAACTGTGAGTTCTGAAACTTTGTCAGATAGTGCTTCCCGCACAGTTATCTCTAGGCCTGCAACTCCTGCTGAAAATAAAGTTTGCCAAGCAACAATATCTTTACCAAAGAGTAAAGCAAGCACATCACAATTAAATGAATCTAGAAAAAAGTTTATTAGTCCTGAAACAGCCCTTGATAAGCCCTGGGGTTATGTTCCACCTTCAGTTACAATTATGAAAAGTCCAGCTGCAATTGGTCTCTCTCCTACTGTTGCCCCACCTTTGTCTCGAATGCCTAATCCTGTTTTACAGCTAAACAGTCTTCGCAACATACGGCCAAACTGCTCAGATGTAGGAACAGTTGGAACACTACGGACATTAAGGAAAGGTGGCTACATTTGAACCATGTACAAAAAAAGAATTAGATTTAACAGATTGAACTTTCTCTTGTGTGTAGATATATATACATAAAACAGATGCATAGTCCTCCGTGTGCAATACTGCAAAGTGTTGGATGGATTTAAAGATATAAAAAGGCAGCATGTTCACCTACAAATTAAATGTATATTCAAGCATGCTGTTACATTAAATTATTTTATTTGAAAAGTGCTTTCCAGGGGAATATTAAATTTTCTTGTATTTACATTCTACTATGTGCATAGTAAACACTTTGGAATTTTTTGTTACTTGCCATAGTTTTTACATCTTTTGACTTTGTTTAATAGCTTTTGAAATGGAAAAGTATTCATTTATTACATTTATAGTATTTAAAAATCCATTCATCACATAGAAGAAATGACTAAAAATCTCTTCTGAGTATTTTGACATGAGAGCTATACATGCTTGCTCTTTGCTGTTTTTGTCAGACGATGAAAGACATTTCAAGATGTGTTGTGTTAATATTAGGTACTTTGTGGTAATGAAGTAGTAGGCATATAGAATTTCATTCCATTTTTTTTTGTTTTGTTATTATTTTATTAGTTTTGCTGCAATAGTGAGATTTTTTTCAAATAAATTTAAGCTTCTGCATTGAGAACATAAAATTTTGAGAGGTAAAAAAAAAAAAAAAAAAGGTTAACTGAGCATGCAGAACTAATTTCCTAAAGCTTTTGATACTGACAATCTAAAATATGGTCTGCAGAATTGTTTCTTTCAAATGCATTTTTAAAGCACACTGTCTAATTTTTAGTCTGTAGGTGGTATAGTGGTAATGAGATGTCTTACTTTTCCTATGATGTTATTCTCTTAGTTTTGTCCAGTTTAATTCAGTTTGACTTTAATGGATATGTTAATGGTGAGTTTTTGCTGATTTACTGAATTAGTTGTAAGAGTTAAGTACATTTGTGTAGAATAAATTCTATATTGAACTGCAGAAATATCTTCAAATCATGATAAAATATGTCAGTTTTTTTCATATTATATTATGGAAACAAAAACATGAACATTTATAATATGTAGATGTTTGAATTAAACAGAACAGTAATTTTCCATTCTTTTAAAAAATGAAACAATCGAATTATAAATCAAATTTTGTCATGTAAACCAATTAAAGAAAAGTAAAAGAAAACCTGCAAATTATGTTCACGAGTAAGTGAATTATTATAATTTTCGTTACTAAAAAATCTTAGACTTTATTTAATAATTTTTGCATTGAAAATTTAATTTATAATTTTTGCATTGTGTATTTAATCAAAAGTTTTTAGGTATTCAATTATTTTAGTTTATTCCTACATCAAAATTTCTATGTTTATTTCATTTAAAATACTCTATAGACTTGTAAAAATTTTACTGTTTAATTGTAAATTCATTTCTCTGTTTTCAACTATTGTAATACTATTCTCCAGTTTAAGATTTGATTTATATTAATTAAATTGATGCTGATGAATTTAATCAGCCATATCAAAATAAATTTATTACTATTATTTTTGGCAAATAATATATTATATTTAGATTTGTGCCACTAAAAAATTGTTATCTGCTTTCCTGAATCTGGGAACTTGCTTCCGAATGTTTAATTTATGATTAATTCTTAAATTATGGTAGTCTGTTGGAGTTTTTTCTAACAACACAAAAAATGTCTATGCATAAAAATGTAAACAAAATGCTGTTTGTTACTTTGCATCAAGAAGTAGTATTTATAAAATTTATCATTTGCTCATTAATAAATTTATTACATGAAGAAAATGAATGGTACTTCTTTAAATTGAGGGTTCCCCCCCTTCCCCCAAAGGTGTGTGAACTTTTTATATAACAAGAACAATAAAATTTTTCAGTGATGTCAATATTATTCTAAAACTAGCATACAATCTGAATCCATATTCAGATTTAAAAGTAAAAAGTGCATGACATAAAAATTTATTTTTTATTAATTATAATGCATATATTATAAATTATATGAATCAAATGCTTAAGTTATTTCAGTTAATTAAATTATTGCAAAATATAAATTATTAACAAGTACATTTGTTGATTTGATTTTGCATTGATGTCTATAATATGAAAGATAAAGATTTTATGTCATGTCAAATGGCAGTAGTCCAAGAAATTACTGCAGTACAAAGTCCGTAATCCGGACCTCCATTATTCAGAATGATATCTAATCCGGACCTCAAAACCACAAACTTTTTTTTGTATGCTTTACGCATGCACTTAATGTGTTTACGGTATAACGGATGGTACTAATTCTAAGGCATTTCAGTTAACGTCACAGATTGCACTGTTCCTTAAACTTCTAATTGAATCCGGTTTATTATATTTTGCAGACTGTTGGAGCAATTTTATAAAAATTAAGCTTGAAGAGTTTCCAATTCTGGAGCTGCCAAAGGATTTACAAAGCAAAACCATGTTCGATGTCCATTAAACAAAAAGTGGAATTGCTGCAAAAAATGGATAAAGGCATATCCGTCTCAAAATTATGCGAGGAGTATGACATTGGAAAGTCAACTGTATATGACATAAGCAAAAAGAAAAAGGAACTTTCTGAATTTTTTGGGGATTCCAACACCCCACTTGCAATGAATTACAGAAAAAGGATTCATATTGCTAAAAGTGACGATCATTACAAAGTGATAATTGAATGGGTCAGACAGCGTCGCTGCGAGGGCGTGCCATTGATGGGTCCATTGCTAACAGCTCAAGCCAAAAATTTTCTTAAATAAATTAACTTAAACACTGAGTGCACATATTTGACAGGTTGGTTAACAAAATTTAAAAATCGGCATGTTATAAGACAATTAAAATTTTATGTGAAATAGCTTCAGCTGATACTGAAGCTGCAGAACAATTTAACACACAAAAAACGAAGCAACTTAAACAACTTACATTGAAAAAAATGTTTAATAAAGTAAAAAAATAAATATTAAGTTTTTTTTTTTTTTTTTTTTTTTTTGTGTGTGTGTGTGCGTGTGTGTAAATTTTGATACCCTTGTATCATAATTGCTCTTTATTTCATAAATTATGGTTTCATATTTTTAATTGTATAATTTCTGCATGCCATATTACCAGATTTAAATTGATGATCTATAATCCGGGTCCGGGTAAACCCCTAATTGCCAAAATCCCAACGAGTCCGGATTACAGACTTTGTACTGTTACTATTGTTGTTACTATTCTATGTTGCATAGATCATAAATGCCCTGGCAGCATAATATGATGAGCATAAATACTTTTAAATCTCAAACAAAAAATCTGGTACAAGTTTCTCTTTTGCTTTTGAACTCATCTGTTTTCTTATTTGCTACTTTTCTATTAATATGCAATTCTTAAGAAATGCATGTGCTTATTTTCATTCTTTTTGTGCAGTATGCTAATAGGTTTTGTAAAAAAAAATATATTTAAAAGTATTTGTTACCTTTTGTAACATGCCCCCATCTGGTAATATTTGCTTATTATTGCTAGGCATAGAGATTTTGTTTAATATTTAATAGTCAATATAGTGCTAAAGATCAGTTTATTTATTCATAATTTGTTGTTCTGCATAAATTAATATAGGATGTAGGATTTTGTTCCTATCATAGCCATTCCTATATGTTATAGGACCAAATATTAAATGAAACTTTTATTTTCTTTCCTTGTTAGTTTCCCAGTTGCTTTGCGTATTCATATGCACAAAATTTGTTATCAGTTATATAAAAGAATATATGTAAAGAATGAAATCATATTGCATCTTTTCATACATAAATGTAGTTTAATTTAGTTTTAAAAAAAATGCATTGCGTGAGTTTCAACTTATTGAAAATATTTAATGTTTTGCTAGTGCAGTTATAATGAATATAAAAATATTAAAGATTTAAAAAATTAATAATTGTAATAAAATTGATTATAGATATTATAATTTAAAAGCAAAATAATATCCATAGTCATTTTTCTTATAATTATTCAATTTCTTTCATCTTGAGTAATTTTTATATTCAATGTAACAATATCTGCTAGTAAAACATTAAATACTTTCTATATTATAACTTATGTTGAACTCGAAGGGGAAAAAGCAGCTGATTTTTGAACTTAATACTCACAAAGAAAATATTTGTATATGCAAATATGTATGTGTGAATAGATTTCAGACTTTTTTTCTTTAATTGCATTTTGGGGTTGAAATGCAATGTACTTGTATAATATAAAAGGTTAAATTACTTGTGTATCAGTTTAACATCATTAAATTTGTAAGACTGATTTCTTTGAGAAGGGCACCTTTACTCTTGCATTTCAAGTGACATGTGGATAAAATTACACTTATCTGTGCTATTTTTTCTCTATTTCTTAGAGAAACAAAATAATCTTTTTTGCATATGCAGAAAAGTAATATAAATGCCTTGCGCTATGGTTATTTGCCTCTGTTAAAAGAGGTATGTTCTGTACACATTACCATTGGACTGTATCTCATACTTCTGATGAAATACTTAAATTATAGAAAAAGATTTAAAGATATAAATATATGTAAATAGTAGGTAAATAATTGTAACTGTATGTAGTAAAACTGTGGTCTTCTGATGAATAATATATGTTTTAAAGTTGTATTTTTTGCATTTTGTGCAATACTCTTATTTTATGAAGTGTTATTTTTAAAGTTAAAAATGATATTTTAATTAAACCAGATTGTAGAATTCCATATAAAGAAAGGGGACTGCATGAATTCAGCTCAATTTCTTTTTTTGTTATATATGTTATGAAGCCTATGGACCAAGAAAGGGTTTCAGTAAAAATTTTATCTGGGTAGGGTGAAAAATTACTCTTTTGAACAGAAGTTTGAACTAATTATTATATTGTGAATATCTATTAATTTTTTTTTTAATTTTGAATGTTTAAATTTGACACTTTGGAAAATGTAGCTATAATTTTGTATTATATTTTATTTTGTGTACTTATTATACAAATTAAATTAAAGTATTTAAATAGAATGAATGATTGATATGTTCTCAGTCTTCAAGTATTAAATAATAACGGTTCACTGAACCTAGGGAAATATGAAAAATTGCTCTATTAATGTAATTTTAAGCAATTATTATACTGTAAATCTTATTAATGGCCTCTTTCTCACTTGTGAACATTTTACTTTGGTACTTTAAAAAAATGCAGCTGTAATTTTGTATTACGTTTTATCTATGGGG